CCCTTCCTAGAGCAGAGCCCAACTCGTGAGCGCAGGAGGTGGGGTTGCCGTTGCTTCGCGCCTTTTTCAGGCGTGCATGGCTTCTGCTACCGGCAACTGCTCCCGTCTCCTTTTGCAAGGCACCGCCAGCATTTTTCCTCCCACTGAAGTGAGAGTACCCATTTATCTACTCATGTAAGTTTTCGAGCTGCTGGGTATAACTGCATTCAAATAGGTCCTGGTGTTCAATCAGCCAAGCAATGTCTGGCTTTTAAATTCATACAGTAAAATCTGAATTCAACAGTACATTTTGGGGAAGGGGTATCTGAAATTATATCAATGTAATGTACATTATTTGCATAATTATGCAATTGATTTTTAATGTAATTTATGTCAATTTGTTATTTGCACAGCTACATAATTATGCAAACAACATACACTGAAGCAAATGACATAAATTATGTCAATTGTCTGAACTGCTTTAGAAACAATAGACTTCGCCCACTATTTGGGGTGAAGTTTGAGATAAAATTCTGCCCATTACCTTTGAAGTCTGCTAAGTGGAGCTCTAAAGAACCTAAGTTTTACAATATGAAAGGCTAGCAAAGGAAGAACAAATTGCTCTGTCAATAACCAGGTTTGTATCTATCCAATTCTACTTAAAGTTATTCTGAATATTTCCCAAATTTTCCTTGGTACATCAAGCTCAAAAAATATTTAAAAACAGAATATTTTTATGCTGTTCTGTTTTTTCCTACAGATTTATAGAGCCTTCACTGAATTGAAGACACAGATGATGCCTTCAGGATGTATAGGGGAAATGTTGGGGAAGGTCAGTATTGGACTAAATATATAAGGATTTGTCCAGGATAAAGATCTGGTGTCCTGTTTGTTGTTTTACCTGCTTTATGAAGGCATTAAATAAAGATTTTTGTATTCTGTTTCTAATCACAGAAAAGCTTTGCAAGATGCTACTGTATTATTATTATACAATGAACAACCTTATGCTTATTATTTGGAAGTACAGTTGCATTACCTGCTGAGAAAACTCATACTTTATGCAGATAGTTTAAATTTTTACATTTTAATCTTTGTATTTTATTTGGGCCATAGGCTATACAAAACAAAATTGGAATTGGAGTTTGATTACTTTGTCTTCTGCCAACCCTTCTTGTGAGTTTAAAAATAAGGACACAAATATTTGTTGTATAGTATAATAAGTTTTGGGGACATTTTTTTTAACAGTACTAGGATATGGAGAAACTTACATAAGAAGTAGTATATGTCATTTTCACAATTCTGGAGTACTATAATATACATAAGAAATTATTGTTAGCTTTTCCAGCCAGTTCCCTGAATAACTCAAACTAAACAAAGATTAGCTAAACTAATCTTAGCAATACAGTCAGAACGATAAGAAAGAGACAGTAAATTCACAGCTTCATTTCTTCACTGCCTTATTCCAAAAGGGGAATATCAAAATAATACTTACTTGGATCAGATTTTGAAAATGTATCTCTATCCAAAAGGTTCCTATTAATAAAAATAAAATAAAATGATGTCTGTTAAAACATTTTCTCAATCAGTCACTAAATCAGTGCATAAAATTTAGACAGAGTCAGATAGTCAGGCATTGCAGATTTGATGTTAATCATATTGCAATCTGATTAAGCAGAGGCACTTTAACCAAATGGCACCTTCTCTACAACTGAACTCAGTTTGGCTCAAGGAAATAGGATATTCAAAGATAATTCTGAACTTGCAGAAGTTAGCACTAAGTGATCATTTATATCGGTTATTGGAAGGCTCACAGTATCTGCTTTCTAAACTGTGAGTTCAGTTTCATTGATATGTCTCAGTGTTTTACAGCCGGACCAAGGAACTGGGATGCATAGGCTCAGAGATGAGCTTTCCATCCAGATACGGATATGTCACTAGTGAGAATATGCACTGAAGAGAAACTTTCAGTAAGATTGCATGGAATTAGCCACCAGTGCAAGAGGGTTTTTGACACTGGATGGAACACAATGAAGGAGCTGTTTTACATCCATGTCCAGAGAAGCAGAATGGAAGTACCATGCCTATAAGGGCCAGAATAAAGGCAAAACACTTAAATTGCAGCTGTCATATGGCCCAGTAGTTGGAGAATGATGTGGACTCTTACTTTTGTTAATTTATATGCCTGAAGCATGTAACAATGGTAGGAAAGTGGGTACTCCTCTATTGCTGCTCCTATGAATTAGATAATGTGCAAGGGAAGAATAGAAGAACTCTGACCCAGACACTGAGGCATTGTAGGAGCTGAAGAACTTGAAATGTGTAGTGAGATCACTCAGCCCACGTACAAAATACTAAGAGCCAGTAACTTAGAAGAGAGGCCAAAATGGTGCTTGGAGGTAGAGGAATACAACAACAGGCGCCATACATTTATTTTAAAAATCTCTGAAGAGACACATGGTAAGGCACTAAACTGGTAAATGTATTTATAATGAGGGAAAAGATGCCAATAAAAGCGAATATGTGTAGCTCAGAGTTGAACTGTGGAGTCTCTGGGGTTCTCTGAGCTTGATTGTTTTGTGGAGTCCTTGGGGTTCTCTGAGCTTGGTTCTTTTCTTGCAAATGTTTCATTACCTGGCTAGGTAACATCTTCAGTGCTAAAATGGATGGGGTTTGCTCTCTATTTATATACTGTGGCATGCCTTGCCAGTGCTGGGGTGGGTGGGTTTTGTTTTGCTCCTCTGGTAGTTCCTTGATTAGCATATGTTTACTGCTTGATTGTTTGCCTAGTGGTATCTGGGTGATGATTGCTAGTGAGCTACACATATTTGCCTTTCTTGGTTGTTTTCTTGAAAATGTTTCGTTACCTGGCTAGGTAACATCTTCAGTGCTAGAATGGAATGGGGTTTGCTCT